TCCCACTAGGTTTATATCTGGGACTCTCCACCATTTGACCTTAGAACTGAAGAAGCTTCTCGGATGAGAGGTGAAACGTCTTCAAGCAACTTAAAGAAGTAGAGACGCTTTTCTTTGCAATCTCCTCTGACTTCCGATAACTTCCTGCTAACTTCTAACTCCTTTAAATGTAATGAATTCTGTTTTCATGGATGCCTGGATGTTAAACTTCATAGTTACACCTGGTAAAGCAGCAATGCTGATCATTTTATTAAAGATGAAAGAATTTAGACAGTTTTAAACTCTCAGTGATGTTCGTTTGACTTCGGGACTTTAAAGGATGGAGTTTAGGACCCAGATTACTCCCAGATTTACAAGCACCTTAGTCCGACAAATACGGCAATAACGACGGCCCGCTTGCATGTTCTACAAAAGAAAAAAGTGCGTTCTTGTGTATCTGACGGACAAACACCAAACCAGTTAAGCTGCACCATTTTTACAAAACAATTCTGGCTCATCCGTTTCACTCAACAATCTACTTTCCCCATTCACATTCTCCGATACCATACATTCTTGTTTTTATCCTGAGGATAAGATGACTCCTAAGCTCAAATGTGCGTTTGAATTGGATTTTTTCTTCTATGTGCCTTTTTTTCATGCATAAGTGTTAGTTCTTCTTGGATTGTTCCAGGAAGGGTTATCTTTTTGTCAATAAAATCCATGTTAATGATTGAAACCATGTCTCATGTCTTATAAGTAAAATAAACATGTAAAAAGTGTTCATACACAACATATGATCAAGAATTAACATAATCTTGATGTAATTATAATCAGGGGTTTTGTTTAATAAGGGTTCTTTGGATGTTTTGTTGCAGATAAAACCAACAATCTTACAGGGAGCACTTTTAATTCAAATTGGAAGTCCAGTACATATTCACGAAATCTATGTTAGATTACACTTAGAAACTAAATTTATATGTGATATTATCTAGAATCAAGAGTAAATCGTAATTTTAAATCCAATATCTAGTTTTTTGAAAAGTTTTTCACACGTTTTGAAAGAGAAATCAAATTATTTTTGTCGTATACTGTAGTATTACATCAAATATAATTGGATAAACAACTTTGTTTTCTACGTCAAATAACAGTGGTGTAAATAACATTTACTGTATATTACTGTAAATTTAAGCATTATTATTCATATTGATGCATTCATTGACCTTGTTTATAGGCAATTTCATTGTTTGATCACATTAAAATGTTCCTAATTTGATGTTTAAAAGCATTTGTAAAAGGCATAATCCCATCTAAAATTAGGGCAGCAAGTTATTTTCTGTTATATTACGGTATTATTTTGGCAACCCAGCTGCTGGAATATTACTGGTTTTGTAGGATGTTTTTTTAACAGTGTGAATGACACGTAGGCACAAGCACTGACAATAACAATCTCTTTCGCATAGATGATAAAGTTTGCCGGGCACAAAGAGAGCTGCTACAAATGTCCTTTAAAGAGTGACTTTTACTGTTATACTTTCAGTACATTTCAGAGCCTGCATTTCTTCACTTTGTTTACCTGAGCAAAGAAGTGAAATCAGTACTTCAACACATGTGTACTTCTGCTTAAAATAAGTGTGTGTGTATTTCTGCAACTGCTGGCTTGCATTTGCAATTTACATCTTCCCTGTTTCAGAATTATTATTACTATTTTTACTTTTTTGTAGTTTCACAGTGTCATAAGCCTCTTTTGTTCAAAATACTTTGACTAGTGACCTCTTGCCTTTATCTGTAAAATGCAAAGGTAGTTACTCACCTGTCCTCGAACGTGTACCAGATAAGAATGGTCAGCAGACTCCCCAAAGAGAGAAGATTGATCATAATCAAGAGCTTTTTCCTCATGTCGCTCTAGTGCTTCACCTTTCTTAACACTTCGTTTTAACTCAGCTTTTTTTAATGTACTTTTACCTCATATGTTGATACGGTTATCTGCCCGGTTTAACTGTCTGGTGGTTTATGATTCATAAAATGAGTAGGCTTCCTCAGTTAATTATTACTATAGGAGAAGAAGAAGTCCCTTGGATGGGTGACAAAATATTTCTCCCAAGGAAAATGTCACGTCCAGATGAACAGATCAACTTTTGGGGATTTTCTTACCTGGATAATTGAGCATGCATCAAGACATAAACACTCTCAGGTCATTTATACAAAGATGTTTTTAGGACAAGGCCTACGTTTTTAAACCAAGTTGCCTCTATGGATGCTTTCAGACCATGCATGTTTGCCAATTCATGAGCTCATGAAATGAACTATGATTTTGTTTATTCTGGAAATCAAATCATTAAAAATTTCTATTCATTTTATTCTGGGTGTACTGACAAATATCAGTGAATGTTCAATAATATCCAATACAGGAAACTATTGTAGAATACCTTACAATATAAAGCATCTTGATGCAATTGTTGAATTGAATTGAATTATTGGTTAATTGGGTGAATACAATTTTTCTAAATAAAAAAAGAGTAACAAAACGAGGCTTGACCGCATGTTCCACTGTATCCATGGAAATATTATACTTCCTGTTTCTCATTCATGACATCCAAAACAAGATTTTAAAGCCAAAAACTTTTAATATTCAACCTCATGATATTAATTGTGGAGTATATTTTATTAAATTCTTAAATTAAGTTCCTGTATCAAATGACATCAGGCAGAGTGTCATTTTCTAATAATAAAGAAGTATAATAGAATATATAATATAAGTAGTAAACAATAATTCAGAAAATGGGTGACCTAAACGGTAGGCATTCCAATTGTAAAGTCTGGAAAACATGGAAAAACTTTCCATTTTTGTTTTTAGCAAGGTACAGACATGCATTCATTCATTCCTTGCAGTAAAGCCCAATGCTTGTTTGTTTGCACTTACAAACTCCGATGCGGCACACTCATAGGTACAGCCCGGCCAGTGCTCAGTGTATGGTTTTTTTAGAGAGTGAAATATGCAACAGTGGCAGCTGTTAAAAGTTTTACAGTTTTACTGCTGCTTGGGGTTGTTAAATTTTGTTTGGTAGTGCTTCTCCGACTTTCCAAAACAGAAATTAGAGTTGAGAGAGTGCTCCAGTTGGAAATTCAGATTTCATCTGCAATGTGCTATAATATTAATATTTTCTTAATATGTTGTAATGAATCTCTTGATAGTAAGTTACAAACATCCCACGTTCTATTGAGAGGGGCCCTGGTTCCTGTTGTTACTACTGATACTCCCTTTTTGACACTCATGATATAAAATATGCATTAAACTACACTATATGGAAATAAACCACACACAAGCAGGTCAATTATAAAGTTAACTCCACTTCAGTGAATGATTGGTTCCAAAACACAAAAGAAAATAAGTAAAATTAATAAAGTTTGTTAAACTGTTAAACTTGTAAAGGTATTTACCTTGACAGAACCAAATAATTAAATAATATTGTGGGCCCATACGCACTCTCACCAACACACACACACCTTAACTGCTACAGTCTTTCTGTTAACAAACACCTCATTGCAGGCCTGAGTCGTGGCTCGGGTGGGTTGGGACCTAAAACAACATGGCCGCTTCACTTGTTGCCAAGCACTAAAATAAAAAGCATGTGAACACAACAGTACTCACGCCTCCAGGCAGTTCAAGGAGATAGCTGGGGAAACTGGGTCAAGGCCACCAGCAGAGCACGGCAGCAGCACTCACAGTTGCATATCCATGTGTTCCCGTGTGAACATGAAAGTTCAGCACAGCAGCAGAAGGGACCTCTCTGACACGCCAGCAAGACGTCCGTCTCCTCCGACAAACTGAAAATCAGTTTGTCGCCCTTCTTTGAACTCTCCATCCACACGACACTGTTGTTCATCTCTCGTCTCTCTCTGCCTGCCGAGTGCATACGGCTCCCCACTTACTCCCACCCCCTCTACCTGAGACTACTTCAGGGTTCACTGGAGCTGCAGTACATATCAATAACATTTCAAAAAATAATGACATACACCTCAAAATACAAATAAAAAGGCTGTGCATTTAACTGACATACATCAGATACCTTACAGGCATTTGTATACATTTTTGAACACGGTGGACATTTGCATTTAACTAAAAATATATGAAAAAAAACAATTTAAGTAAATGAGCTATTTATATAGCCAGGGCTACAGTTATGTTTGAAGTTTTTTTCTGAATTCTAAGTTTCCTGTTATAAATGTAGCTACATTTATTGATGCATGCTCAGTCATCCAGGTAAGTAAATACCTAAAAGGTTGATTTTGTTCATCTGCACGTAGCGTTTTCATTGGGAGAAACGTTTCGTCACTCAAGTGACTGCTTCTATCTCATCTGACTACAGGTTTCCCCAACGTTATAAACAGTACATTTGCACAATGACTGAAACCAGCCCACTTCAGTGAGACTGAAGAAGTCACTTGGATAAGTGACGAAATGTTTCTCCCACTGAAAACGTTACGTCCAGATGAACACAATCAACCTTTTGGGGTAGCTATATGTACATTGTGAATGTAGGCTGCTGCCATGCGTTGTTCTGAAACAAATGATGCATTGTTAGAGCTAATCAGTCTGTAGAGGCGTTCATAAACTTTATAAGTTCTTTTCTTTGTTTATTGAGGCAGTTAAGACAAAAAGATTTAAATCCAAATGGACACTTATTTTTATGGATTTTGTAGTTACATGTTAAATTTAGCCAAGATTTTTAATGGTTTTACAAATCTTTTATTTTGCAGGTCTTCTTTCAGCCAACTGATTACAGTGTACATAGTTGATCTTAAAAGTGAACCACACCTCTCTCTATTCTATGCAGCTCTTATCTTTTCTTTTATGTTCAATTTTATTATGTTCCCCTCCCAACCTTATTATTCCCTTGCATTTCTATCTCACCTTCCAGCCATTTCACTCTCTTGCAGTCACATGAATGTGACTCAGAATGGCAGACAGAACCAAAATTGTTGAAAATGAAAGGCAGCATCATGAGCACCAGCATAAGCTATAAACTGATGCTGGAAGTCTGACAGTTATACTAATGTTATCGGTTATTTTCAACCAGCCAGAGAGACTCACCACACAAAGTTTAAATGAAACTTTTATAGACAAGCATTTACATATCAGTTTGATCAGAACGGCCTGCACTCTCCTGTAAAAGTGCAGGGTGTAGCAGTCTGCTGAGTGGTGCTGGAGGTGGTTTCGATCCTTTTTTCTGGTTGGAAAAGAAGAACTGTGGAAACTTATTTTAAAAAAAAAAAGCCTTTTTCTTCATGTTTCGAAGAGTTTTTTGGAGTATTTAAGACATCCTTAAAACAACGGTAGGTGTTTCCAAATGGCCTTCTGCAGCCTGTTAAAAACTTTGGTCTACTTTATATATCACATCTTTTTGTATTGTGCCCTTACTTTTGATCAGTCTAAGGTACTTTCCCTTGAGACTAAAGGGTTGCAATACAGCAAAATACTGAAGGCTGAGATCTGTTCTCTCAGTGACTTTCAGCTTTATTAAACGTTAAATTTAATCTCATGTATACAGGTTTTAAATTCAAGTTCTGTTGTTTACTTAAAATACAAAATGTGTGTGTGTGTGTACACATGCATGGGTGCATATTAATCTCTGTCTCTCTTCCACAACACGTCTTTATCCTGTCTTCCTTCTCTCACCCCAACCGGTTGCAGCAGATGGCCGCCCCTCCCTGAGCCTGGTTCTGCCAGAGGTTTCTTCCTGTTAAAAGGGATTTTTTACTTCTCACTGTTGCCAAAGTGCTGCTCATAGGGGGTCATATGATTATAGGGTTTTTCTCTGTATATTATTGTAGGGTCTATTGTAGGGTCTAAAATATAAAGCGCCTTGAGGCAACTGATTTTGGGATTTGGTGATATATAAATAAAATTGAATTGAACTGAATATGTCCACGTGACAAATGGAGATGTATATGAATATAAAATGAAATTGTCATGGTCGCCCATTGTGTCGACCTGCCAATTTTGTAGCCTAAGGCTTCTGTGTTTGATGGAACCACTTCATAAGGAAAAGGCTGCAGTTCAGTCTTTGCCAGATCGTTTTATGCTTGCAGTCAGTGCTTCCTAGTCCTTACCCTGTGAGTGTCACAAAGGACCAGAGGCCTATACTAAAACTGGGCTCAAGTGCTGGACCAAGTGAAGAGATAGTTGAGTTAGTTTTACACAATGCTTTTATTTTTGCAACAATGGGAATGTGGCAAAAAGTTTAGTGTGAACACAGAATAAAATCATGCTTGGCACGAGGTTCGTGTCTAGGAAAACTAGTGTGGAGCTCTGAGGCAGGGACAGGGCATGTTTGGTAACAAGTGTGGTGGCACTGAGGAGAAAGAACAAAGGGAGTTTGTGTATTATAGAACTCCTACAGGTGTACATTTAACTGAGGGGTAAGGCGTACGTTCCAGGTGGAGTCAGAGGTGATTTGAGGAGAGAAGGTGTCGGAGTAGCAAGCAGAGCCAAAGAGTGGAGCTGTGACGAGAGAATTGAAGCACAAGAGAACAAGGTAAG